AGAAAGCAGTAGCAATAAAACTGAACGATCATTATGCTAAGCTAACGGATGGGTCTTGTACATCACATCATTCTCCTAAATGATGTGATCCCGTTCATCAAATGACAACACATGTCCATGGCTAGGAAACATAACCATCTTTGATCAACGAGCTAGTCAAGTAGAGGCATACTAGGGACACAATGTTTTGTCTATCTATCCACACATGTATCAAGTTTTCGGTTAATACAATTCTAGCATGAATAATAGACATTTATCATGATATAAGGAAATATAGAATAACAACTTTATTATCGCCACTAGGGCATATTTCTTTCATTCTTGTCCATCAGATCATTCTTCTAATGATGTGATCACGTTCATCAGATGACAACACATGTCCATTGCTAGGAAACTTAACCATCTTTGATCAATGAGCTAGTCAAGTAGAGGCATACTAGGGAGACGGTGTTTTGTCTATGCATTCACACATGTATCAAGTTTCCGGTTAATACAATTCTAACATGAATAATAAGCATTTATCATGAATAAGGAAATATAAAATAACAATTTTATTATTGCCTTTAGGGCATATTTCCTTCAGGGCCAACCCGTGGGGGATGATCTCGTCAGTCCAGGTGCAACAAACGACGCAGAGGGCACTCTCGTGTGGCGAGGCTCCCAGGAGGTGGCTACTCCAGGATCACTCTAAGAGCAATCACCGATGATGAAATAATGAGACTGGTAGGAAACTTGTCAATCATATATCCATATGATTATTGTTCATATTTTGATGGACGTGTTCCAAACTCAAGACATTCTTGCTAAGTTTGTCAAGACAACCAAGTGTTGTTGTTGCACGAACAGTTCGTGCCCACCTCATACGCGCCAAGCCTATTGTAGCCATGTGACATGGTGCACCTCAACGTGACATGTTTTCCAGTCCATGCTACACTTGGATGAGTACTACCTACTTGATATTTTCTACGAGGATCGCCCTATTAAACATGTTTACCTCGCATCAAACAAGGTGCAAAAAAGGATTAACATCATATCCATTTTCACAACATAGTGATATTGTGTAGCCCCTTTCGTTGGAGAAGTTTGCATTGTCGTCACGCGGTTTTTGCAAAAATTCTACCGCGACAACCGTTATATGGCAGCTTTTTCTAGCAGAAAACGCTACCGGGCAGCAGTTTCGAAATCTGTGCCATATCAACCGTTTTTTCAACAGAAAACGCTGCCATGGAAGCACCTTTTTGCTGCCGCGGTAGAACCTTTTCCGCCGGTAGCCTATTTGTTCAACTTCCTTCGCAAGTGAGCACCTTCATGTAAGGCTTTGCATCGAAGTCCATCGCCACATAGATTGTCACCATCATGTACCTCACAACTATACCTATTGATATCTCTATAGCTAGTAAAATAAGCACATTGCATGATTTTGACACGTAGGTCAATTAAATTAAATGTCAATCATATGGTTATAGCCATCATGCCATACTCACGACATGTGGGGCATGACAAAAATACTACAATCAATTTGCATCTCATACAAACATATTGCTTTCGTGAAGGCTATATCACACCACAAGCACACCCCGCAAGAAAGTTACCGTGGTGAATTCTATAACATAAGGCTAAGTATATTATTGCTCTAGAAGCAAAAATGAAGGATGATGAATCGAAAGTTCATTTGCGAACTTGGTATGGTTTCTAGATGATTGTATCATTGAATACTATTCTTAATAGTGGTTTCATAACTCAGTCTAAGGAATCAAAAGGTTCTACCAGCGATTCAATATATATACAAAGCCGGTTTCACACAAATTATGAATTCTTGTGACAGCATGATAGATGCATAGATATGCAAATGATACACGCGGATCTGAACTTGTCAGATTTGATAGGATGAAGTCTATAACACAAGTGAAGCATGGACTGGCACCGGATTGCCATTGGTGTTAAAAGTGCTAACTAGATTATTGACTCTAGTGCAAGTGGGGGCCTGTTGGAAACATTTCCTAGAGGAAATAATATTGTATTGTTATATTTCCATTATTCATAATTAATAGTTTATATTTCATGCTATAACTGCTATGATTCTGGAATATGCGATTCAGTGGAAAACTCATATGCACATGTGAAATGATAAATGTTAAGCAATAGGTTCCTGGTCTCGCCTAAGACCGGCTCAAGTGTTGTTGGTGATCACATTTTCCGGATCTTAGGATATCGTTAAGTGTAAAGATAGTCATAAAACAACATTGAGGGTGTGACGTTAGAAGAACGATCATATTGAATCGACCCAATACTTGTCTGTTATACTATGTGATTAAATCGTCTGAAATCATCTGTTACAACATGGAGTGTTAGTATGTGTTTTAGTTCCTCAGACCATGAGAGTGTCTCAGGTTAATTCCTACCAAACAGTGGGCTTTGGGGTTGCTCAGACGTCATCTGTAACAAGGTGATCATAGCGACAACTTTCAGGCACACCAGAAAGTTTGACAAGTGACCAGACAGCTCGAGAGTGGGATTTTCTCCTCCAATGATGGAGAGATATTCTTAGGGTCCTCTCGGTGTGATGACATCCATCATCGTCTGGCCAGACACAGGTGGCTACGTCACGGGGATGCCGAAACACGTCAACAAGAAAGAAGAACAAAATTGGTAATGGGAGCAATGGTATGGTGAGCATGGTGATGACTCAGGAGGATACCGATGCACACTGTGTTTTTGTAAAGTATCGCGAAGCAAAGGGAACATCACATCATAACCAAAGGTTCACTCAAATATCATTCCTGTAATCATAGGGACTGATATGGATGTCCACGGTTCCGCTATCGATCACTGAACGAAGGTGTTTTGTTTATGGTGTTTTGTTTATGTCTATGGTTTACCGAACCTACGTGGTCACAAGCTTAAGGTAATCACAATCTTTTGAGTGTTAGTGGGACGGGAGTGATGAAGAATATATTCGTGGAATTGTTTCATTAATATTCGAAATAGTTTTGAGAGGTCCCAGAAGCGTTTCGGGGTCACCGGAAGGGTTTCGATGAATATCGAGTAATACCGATTAATTATATATAGGTGGAAATTGTTTTCGGGGATCTTAAACTATATATAATGCTCTAATAATATTTAGAACATTCATATTTAATTTAAATATCAATGGACCTTAACAGTCCAAGAGGTGGAAGGCAACTTGGGCCACAAAGGGCCCAAGTAGGAAGGCGCCCCCTTTCCTTGTGTGTGTCTGGGGGGTGGCGAATTGGTCTAGGGGAGGGAGTCCTGCTCCCTCTCCCTAGGCCGGCGCTCCAAGGGGGACTCTCCCCCTTGGTGGCTGCCCTCTCCCTCCCCTCTAATATATATATACTAGAGAATTTCCACCCTATGTAGACACAAGTTTTGGAACCTCCTCTAGTTGATCTAGTTCTGGTTCTAGTTGGCCCTAGTTGACTAATTAGAGCTTGTCCTAGCCACCTCCAATCCTTATAATTAGAAGCCCCGTGTGGTTCTAATCTCCTCCCTCCAATTCTCCGGCGACGATTAGCTCTGTACGGCGAAGCGCCGCCGGATCGTGAAGACCGTACGCTTGCAACCAAGTAGAGAGGTCGTACTTTCGGTCTTTTGTTCGAGGGATCGTTTGAGGGTGGTTCGCCGGATCGTCATCGACATTTGAGGGGCTCCAAGTATGATCTACACCGACTCGTCTACTTCCGTTGCACTCCGAGAGTCCGTAACGGTCGTTAATCACAACCCGTTATGCATCTTCATATTGTTCCTCGGTGATCGTAGGGCGATTTTTTTGTTTTCTACTACGTTTCCCAACAATATTTTACTTTCAATGCCAAATCAAGAGTTATGTATTATGGGCAATCAAAATGTGCGTGAAATAATTGCCATATCAGCCTGATATTTGTAGTAGGAAAGGTATAAATTGGTTCATAACGGGACAACTCAAAACGCAGAACAATTTTTCATGGGGATACGTGTTCTTACACCAATTTTGTTACTACCTCCTCGCCGAAGATTTCCATGAAGAGAGGGGAATGGTCTTGTCCCCTGGCGGGGTTTGTGAAACTTAACGTCGATGCTTCTTTTGACCATGACTTACTTAGGGGTACGATGGGGGCGGTCCGAAGAGACATAAAGGTAGGTTCATCGTTGGAAAAAATGCTAAGATTGATTGGTGCGGATGTACCGATGGTTGAAGCCGTGGCCCTAAAAGTCGGCCTATCGCTGGCGTAAAGGACATGATGCAACCGCATTATTATTAACTCGAATAATACGGAGGCGATCGACACCATGAAGGAAGGAGGATGATCGTCGGGTGCAGCAGCAGCAATTTTTTATGATTGTTTTCATTTAGCTTGTGATTTTTCCATTTTTAGATTTGAGCATTGTAATAGAGAAGCAAATAAAGTCGCTCATGAACTTGCCAAACTAGCTAGATTTTCTTTCATTTCTGAATGGTTCGAGGAGCCAAATAGTGATATGCTACCAATCCTCATAAATGATGTAATGGTTATTTCTAATGAATAAAGATTCATTTTCTGTCAAAAAAAGTACTTAGGTTAAAAAAATGTAGTGATATTTTTGGGAATCACTAAAATTACAGCGGTATATATCCGATTAACTCTTTTTCTTTGAAGCATATTGTTCTCTTGAAAAAGAAAAAGGCCTGTAAAAAAGGCCAAGGCCGCATCTAGTTTTTTCGTTGCCCCCAAGTCAGGCGAGAGTGTACAAATACGGCCCATCGTTTCCCGTCTGAGAGATAAAACGCCTGGCAAACAAGTGAGAGAGAGAAAGAAAGTTAAGAGCTGTCGACGACTGAAACCCTACCCGGAGCCCCGCCGCCGTCGCCTCTCCCTCTCGCTGTAAGAGCTGGAAACCCTTCCACCCGAAAATCCGTCTCTCTCCCAACCAACCCGATCTGATCCGGCTCCTGCGTTCTCTTTTCTAGGTTTAGAGCCGTCGCGCCGCCAGCAGAAGAGGGGGTGAAGAAGGCCAGCGTCACCATGGCGGACGAGGAGCAGATGGAGCGGAAGGAGGAGGCAACCGAGGTGAAACTCTCTCTTCTCCTTTTCGCTCTGCACGTCTGCTTCGGCGGATTCGTCTTTGGTTTGGACGGTGAATAGGCTGCCAAAGCAAGGGGACGGATATAATTTCGTGCTTGTTGTTTGTTTTGTTTGTGAATCCGAGACGATGGGGGCGATCTGTTTGATTTGTATGATTTGGTTGAAGATGTCTAATCTGCAAGGGCGATTTAAGCTGCTAAGCCAATGGTTGTTGTGTGATGTGCAGTCAGATGCGGGACTGCCCTGGTTCGCTCTTCGGGCAGGAATTAACTCCCGTGTATTCTGATTTGCTTAACGTACGAGACTTAACAATTAAGCATAGGATTTGAAGCTCGTGTCGCATTGAACAGCAGTCCGTGATTTTATAGGACAATTGAACTGTTAATATTTGCGTATGCCTGTAAGTAGATTTTTGTATCAGATGCGCTAGAGTTTTGTATCAGACCAGCTAAACAATTCATGTTGGAGATAGTGGTGTTGTTAACTTGTTATGAATCCCTGCCAACGATTATCATAGGCAACAAAAGTGTAATGCTAACATTTTAAATTATATATCACCATAATGTTGCCTTGTACTGAAATTACTGCATTGCTTCACTATTTTTTTTGACGGGCAAACAGTAGAGGAATCCCCTTCATATAATAGAAGAGGTGGGAAGAAGACGCACTTCACTGTTTATTATTATGTTTAGTTTGGTTCCAAATAGTTGTATTCCCTAGTTAATGTTTTATATATTTGTCATGCCATGCTTGTATTTCCCTTGTCTTGTGCATACTTGTTGATAATGTTTATGATGTTTTGCAGATTGCACCTTTTGATCCAACCAAGAAAAAGAAGAAGAAGAAGGTCGTCATCCAAGATCCTGCTGATGAGGTTGATAAGCTGGCAGAGAAGACGGAGGGCTTGTCAGGTCCGTGTATTGATGCAAAAAAAAAGATCTCATTATCTGCTGTCCGTTGTTGCTGAAAGTTTTCTGCATTGTTTTCAGTCACTGAGTCTGGTGAGGCAAGCTTCGTGGGATTGAAAAAGAAAAAGAAGAAACTTGTGAGTTCATTAGGCTCAGTTTGTGGCTCTGTGCCGTGTTTTGCTTATTTTTAATGCTGTTTGAGAAAGTTGTGGGATGTCTACTATTCTATTTTGTATATGACATCAAATTATGTTGTCATATTTCTCCTCGTGCATGCCAAACATAATAAGATGCCAATGGAATAAGCCACTACAATGCCCAAGCCTCAGGCTTTCCTCACTCGGTTGAAAGTACTGTTTAGACTATCAGTTCCGTCTTGCTATTTGCTCTAACTCGCCGGTGTTCAAATTTCAGGTGGAACTTGATCCATCACTTGTTGAGGCTGGAGATGGTGAAGACACTCTTGGTAAATATATTGCTTGTTAGTATTTTATTTATCTTCATTACATTTGCTGCTGTGTCTGAGCATGTATGTAATCTCCAGATGATCAAGTTGGAGAGGATGAACAAGGAGAAGGGATTGTGCTGGGTGGAGCAACCCAATACCCATGGGAAGGAACTGATAGAGATTACAAATATGATGAGGTAATTGTTCTTCCATGTCTGTTCAATTAACATTTCACTATCCTATTTATTGAACGTTGACAACTAATACTAAAGATCATTCATTTGACCCTTTCATTTCAGTTGCTTTACAGTGCATATTGAGAAGCGTTTTTAAGTTTTTTCTGCGTGCTTCTTGATTTAGTTCTTCGTTGTTTATTTTTGATTGCATTCTTTTTGGTGAAACCTAATCATCAGGCTGTTTATTTTTTATTACTAATATGCTATCGTTGCATGGCTAGCATATTGGATAGTGCTCAGTTGTTCCTCCTATTTTGATTGCATTCTTTTTGGTGAAACCTAATCGTCAGGCTGTTTGGTTACAGCTGCTTGGCAGAGTCTTCAATATCCTGCGTGAGAATAATCCAGATCTTGCTGGTGATAGACGAAGAACAGTTATGCGGCCTCCTCAAGTTCTTAGGGAAGGCACAAAGAAGACAGTTTTTGTGAACTTCATGGACTTGTGCAAAACGTAATTCTTCTTTGTTTTTGCTCTAATTGATCTTGTTTTCTATTACTTTGTTTTATTTCAATATTTTTAAATTTTATTTGAAAATTGTAAGGCTATCATGAGCTAAGTGATATTTCTACTTTCAGAATGCATAGGCAACCTGAACATGTGATGATGTTTTTACTTGCTGAGATGGGAACAAGTGGATCCCTTGATGGGCAACAAAGGTTGGTTATCAAAGGAAGATTTGCCCCGAAGAACTTTGAAGCTATACTCAGGAGATATATCAGTAAGTTTCCTTATTATTCCATGACCTCGTTTCTGCTCCTTTTTGGCTTAAGTTTATGAGTCCTGGCTTTTTATGTGCAAGCATAATATTGAACTAAATATTTCAGCCTGCAGCTGTGTTGCTAAAAAATCATTAGGTTGTTTCTGTTTTTGACTTGTAAGGTTTAGTTATTGTTGTGCGTGCCCATTTTACCCTGTGGAATCAAGGGAATTATTCCAACTGTAGTGAAAATCAGTGTTCTGCTTTGAATATATAGGTTGGCAGTTTTATCTGAAAATAAAAGGCACCATGATGCCAAATAATCCTTCCAAGTTTTCTCTCATGGCCCCAGTAAGAAAGACATAACTATGGCGTATGAAGTATGATGGTCACTTGTTGTGAATGGGCTTTATATTTTTCTTGTGGCATGATGGTCCAATCATAACCCCGAGCTTCTTGACGTGGAAGAGTAGCTCCTTATTTTCCCGTGAGATGATGGGGAGAGCTGACACCAATTTTCTACTCCCTCCGTCCCAAAATAAGTGTCTTGAGCTTAGTACAAATTTGTACTAGAGCTAGTACAAAATTGAGACACTTATTTTGGGACGGAGGGAGTATTTTCTTATCTCTCAGCTGCCTTTGATTTCCTGTAAGCTCAATGGACTAACTTTTGCTGCCCCCATGTTCACTTGTTTCAGATGAATATGTCATATGTAATGGATGCAAGAGCCCAGATACCATCCTTTCCAAGGAGAATCGGTTGTTCTTCCTTCGTTGTGAACAAGTAAGACTGTTACACCCCCCACTTATCGTTCTATTCGCGTTTACATTATTAGTTACTAGTGGTTCCTGGATTTCTTGTTTCTACCTACATTGTTTGATCAATCTTATGAGAACTTATGCATCCGGAAAAAAATTCTATGAGACCAGGTCTCACGGATTAGCAGGTGAGACCCATCCTGATGGATGACACGTGGCATCCACAAATCACAAAGCATCCACTCCACCCCCCACCTGAAATCAGGGGGGGAGAGATTAGATGCTTTGTGATTTGTGAATGCCACATGTCATTCATCAGGGCGGGTCTCACCTGATTTATATGAGACCTGGTCTCATATAATTTTTTTCCTATGCATCCTCTGAGGATGGAACGCTGCCTTTTATTTGACCCAGCTTCAATCTAATCTTTTATTCTCTATAATTGAAAATCTGTATGCAGTTTTTGCACCTCTTGATTTTTGCTGATGATTAGTTGCAGAGTCATTTAGCCTTGCATTGTTTGACAAATATTTTGTGATAATAATTGCAACATCTGAGAGTTTTCAGTACGATAGTTCTTCCGTTTGTGTTTATTCTTTTTAGCTAAACATGGTGTTATTTGCTTTTTTTATTAGCTAAACATGGTGTCCTTGGCTGCCTAGTGCCTTCCTATGATGAGTTGCAAACTTTATTGCCTACATTGTTTGATCAATCTTATGAGAAGCTTCTGCAAGGACTGAGGATGAAAAAATGCACGAAAAATCCAATATTTTTTCTATATATTTTTATTATTTACATTCAGTTACTTGGCTTGTGGCTTTTCTACCTATGATGAGCTGCACACGTTGAAAAAATGCAATTTAGGATTTTCTTGTACCCCACATGTTTTAACCATACGCTAACCGATTGATTGATTTACCTTGATCAGTGTGGTTCGTCAAGGTCAGTTGCTCCTATCAAGGCTGGATTCGTGGCGCAAGTTGGGCGTCGGAAGGCTGGAACTTAAGTTGGGTACTGCGCGGATGCTCTATCAACGTAATCCAGCAATTTGCCGATTTACAACAATCTTTATTGTCCTGTTTTCACTGTGCCTAGACCGCTTTGTGGATTTTGTTACTTCCTGTACTATGAATGCTGCTGGTGTGAATTTCTATTTATCTCAGAGGATCCAAGTTTGCCTTTTTTTACTAGTTTTAGTCATCTGCATGAGAAGACTCTACCTGTCTGACTGACTGAAGAGAGGTGTGGTTGTTCCGAAAGCCAACCACGCAGCCCCGTCCGTCGACGGGCGAGAAAAGGGAAATCCTGGCAACTGAAACACAGCCTTACAAGAAAACAAGTCATGATAAGAGGATAAGCCGACGTATCGCCTCTTCCCTTTCTCCCTGACCCAAGCTACCAAACGATTCGACCTAAGCTCGTTGCCTCCCTTTCCACAACCTCCCCTCCCCGCGCAAGCGCACTGAGCAGAAAGAAAGAGATGAGGTCTCCCGTCCCCGCCATGCTCACCGCCCCATCAGCAGCGGCGGCCGTCGCCAAGCCGCTCCCCGTGGCTCGCTCCAACACGACGGCGGCGCTCCACGCGACGGCCAGCAGCAGGCGGGACGTCATGACGGGCGTGGGAGCCGCGCTGCTGCTGGCCCTGTCGCCGCAGCGCGCGCGTGCGGCGTCGGACGACGAGTACCTGACGGAGACGACGGAGGTGATCGGGAAGGTGCGGTCGACGATCAGCATGGACAAGACGGACCCCAAGGTGGCGGACGCGGTGACGGAGCTCCGGGAGATGTCCAACTCGTGGGTGGCCAAGTACCGGCGCGAGAAGGCTCTGCTGGGGCGGCAGTCGTTCCGGGACATGTACTCGGCGCTCAACGCCGTGTCCGGCCACTACATCAGCTTCGGCCCCACCGCGCCCATCCCCAACAAGCGCCGCATCCGCATCCTCGAGGAGATGGACGCCGTCGAGAAGTCGCTCAAGCGCGGCCGCTGAAGACTTCCATCCACATCCACATCCACATCCACACTAGCAGCAAAATGTCAAACAGGATAGGGTGAGAACGTCGCGTTGCTTGTCCCGTGGGTCATAAGCGCTCGGATTTTGAGTCTCGAGTTTACATCAATTGTTTGTACCACTTGTCTGAATCGGCTGATGATCTACATGGTGAGAATATTGTTTGGAGCATCCTTGATTTTGTGTATCAGCGTCTTCCTTGTTCCTCCTTGCCTCAACGGTGCCCAGCACAGTCCAGGTGCTAAACAGAACGGCTTTGCTTTCTGGATGGCTAGTGCTAGTGGTCTCAAGGGTTTTCATTGCCTCCCGCGGGGCTGCCTATGGACTTAGGGTCATGGAGTCGCGGTGGATTTCGGTCCTTACCAGTAGGAGGGCTTCATTTTTTGTTTTTAGATGTTGTTTTGAATTTAGGTAGGGTTTTTGTCCTGCTTAGAAAATGAGACGGCGACGGCTTCCCGAAGATGTAATAGCTTCTCACTGCCTAGGCCCCGTTCCGGTGATGCTGCTAGTGTCGTCGGAGGGTGTGTGGATCTCGCGGGATTTGATCGACCTTTGTCTTCGGTGGATCCGCTTGGATCCAATCTTCGTTCATCTACGTTCGTGTGTCTACGGGTTAGATCGTTTCGATCTACGCTTTTCTTCATTGACGGCGGTTACTGTTCTAGTGCATTGGTCCTCCGAGGCCCTAGCACGACGACTTTCCGACTGTCTACTACAACAAGATTTGCTGGCTTCGGTAATGGAGGGGTGATGACAGCAACACGCCTTCGGCTCGCTCCAGTGCTAGTGGATTCACAATGACAATCTAATTTAAGAAGCCAGTGCTAGTGGATTCACAATGATAATCTAATTTAAGAAAAGTCTACTAGTCTAGTGCTAGCTGCTAGACTTTCCTTAAATAAGAATCACATTTCCAAGTCTTCGGAAAACATCCAATCACCCCCATCTCCAAAAAACCAAGCCACTTGATATATAATCTACAAATTTAAAATTTCCCAAAGTCAACACTACTTTTAAAAATGTAAGATATCTGAGAATTATCAAAGGCCTTAGAAGATTAGTCATACACCATAGAAGATTGCTCTGGGCCTTCAGTTTAATATTTTTTATTCAACGGGTGTTTTTCTTCTTTGCAGATAAGCGGCTGTGGGGTTATTGGCAAGAACTGATTGAACATGAGTGTCATTGTTTCACTATATTAAGGATACAAATCTATCCACCATTACCTTCTCGACTTTTCCAAAGCTCAAACTAGTCGGGCTAACACGTCTCCAGGCTCCGGCCTTTTCAGTATTCTAGGCCTCAGGCCAGCCATCCCATCATAAGGCTTCACCAAAAGGACGACACCTTTCTCCCAGCTGTGGCCTACTTCCCAGCTCAAGCCCATCTGCAAGCCCACCAAATCCTTACCACACGGCCAATTTGCTCTCGGCCTGCTAGCTGTACCCCACGACCAGAGCCTGGTATCCTTCCATATGGTGAACTCTCTCCGGTGGCTGTGACCGACCTCAAGCATGGCGCCTGCGCCGCTCTTCCTCCGCATGTCGCCACGGTCTTCTGCGGTTGTCGTGATCCACCCCAGGCGCCTGCTACTGGCGACCTCCGCGCCTCGCCGCCCACCCTGCCGCTGCTGGCCGCTCCCCGGGTTGCTATCCCCCACCCCTGCACCTAGGCCAGGGAGGCTTTCGGTCTTAATCTGGAGCCTGTCGCCCCGCCGGCGTTGGGGGAGGAGCCTGAGGGCTCGGATCTGGCGGGGTGCGGGCAGGTGCATCCGGCCCTGCTGCCATCCAGTAGCAGGAGGCTGGTTGAACCCCTCGACGCAGCCCGCGCATCAGGCGGGCGTACGACGGCGTCCGGATGGGCTCCGTCGAGCGAGCTTCCAGAGGAAGGCGGCGACGTCCGATTCTGGCTCTTGCTCGGGTGGTGGCGCCACTCGCCGATCCAGCTCTTCGACTGCTCGTCGCAAGAAGGCGAAGGTGGTGGCGGTGACCCCGTCGCCGTTGACCAGGGGAAAGCTCAAGCTGATCGCTGAGCAATGCGACCTCAATGCATCTGGCATCTTCGATCAGGTTCAGGCCCGTGCTGCATCTTCTGAAGCGGCGGCCTCCTCTGCTACTTCCAGCTCCTCTGCTTCTTCAGTGCGTGTCCTCGACTGCCCATATGCGTAGCCTTTTTGTTGATGCCGTGTTTTATCCTAGGGTCTGCATGGTTAGGTGTCTATCTATCTTCAATATGTTGTTGTTAGGCGGCGGTGCTAGTCAGCCAACTTATGTTCCGCAGCTAAGCTGCTTTGTTGCTTTGGGGTCTGTCAGCTTTAGTGTCTTCGAGTTTGTACCGTGTTGTTGGAGTCTGTATTGTGCTTGTCACAAGGCCTCACAAGCACTTTCGATGCCTATTTTACTATGCTTTCTGATGATCATGCATGGGTGCCTCTGTTCTTCTTGCTTGGGTTGTGTTCTCTCCTTTCCCCCATGAAGATCCTGAACTGGAAAGTGTTCTTTGGTTCGTGATTCTATAACCTCTTCCTGCCCCAGTGTTGTTTGCCTGCAGGAAACGAAGCTTGCAACACTCTCCTCTTTCAAGTTGGGATCTTTTCTGCCTGCTTTTTACAACGATCATGCTTTTACACCATCCGAAGGAACTGTTGGGGGCATTTTGGTAGCCTGGGACACTCGCTGCTTCGCCGGGCAAGTTGTTGCAACACATCAGTACCACGTGACTGTTAAGCTCACTTCTACAACGTCAGCTAGCTCTCTCTTACTTACTGTCGTTTATGCACCATGTGTGAACACTGAAAGGGGCCAGTTCTTTGAGGCTGTTGCTAGTGTTGCTGTTGAGGCCGACACCCCTTGGATCGTCCTGGGTGACTTCAACATGTATCGTTTCGCGCATGAAAAGTCACGTGGCCACATTAACTGGAATCTCATGGAGATGTTCAATGCTTGGATCCGAGAGCTTGGGCTGGAAGATGTTCAGGTCGACAACAGGTTGTTCACTTGGTCCATCTTCCCCCACGCTGGTTAAGCTGGACCGGGTGCTGGTGAATGCAGCTTGGGGTTTGTGTTTCGCGCAGACCTCTGCTTCTGTTGTGCCTGCTACCACCTCAGACCACACCCCCATCGTTCTTCAGTTTCAAACCGAGGCGATCAAGAGTAGCTTATTCAGAATGGAGAACCACTGGCTGCACATGGAGGAGACTAGGCACATTATACAGGATTGTTGGTCCAGGGGCTGCAGAACCATCCTTTCCTCAGCGTCTCTCATCTACTTTAAAATGAGAAGAGTACAGGCTGCTATATGGCAATGGAGTAGACGCCGGCCTAGTCTTAAATTACTCATTGAGAACAATAAACATGTAGTGAGCTTCATCTGTGCTGTTGAGGAGAGAAGATCTCTGTCGCTGATGGAAGTGGTCCTCCGGGAGTTCGCGTCTGCCAAGGCTGAGCAGTTGATTTTGTGGCAGGCTGCTATGTGGAAGCGAAGGGCCAAGCTTAGATGGTGTGTGTCTGGGGATGAGAATTGCAAAAAAATTCATGTGGCAGCTAATAGCCAGGCACGTCGTAACAAAGTCAGGGTTCTTGTTGATGACGGGGCGCACTACTACCAGAACTGTCAAAAGATTCAGCTGGCAACTGCGTATTTCGCCATCATTTTGTGGCAGCCTGCTCCCTCTCTACCAACAGTTCAGCTGTCTGATTTGTATAGCCCCGTGGATCTGTCTGAGCTGGTTAATGTTTTTTCTTGGGCTGAGTTGGTTCGTGCCATTGACATGTCACCAAATAACGGAAGCCCCGGGCCGGATGGGTTCACAAATGAGTTCTATAAGGCTTTCAAGCACCTGCTTAAGGATGATCTGCTCAAGTTCTTCGGGAATTTCCATGCAAATCAAGTTGCTCTGGATGGTATCAACACGGCTTATATAACCTTGCTGCCTAAAGTAGACACGCCGATGGAGTTGCGGGACTTTAGGCCTATCTCTCTGGTGCATAGTGCCCCTAAACTGGTGTCCAAGGTTTTGACCTGCAGGCTGCAGCGTTGCATTCCAGATTTGGTGCATTCGTTGCAGTCTGGGTTCTTGAGAGGAAGATCCATTGTGGAAAATTTTGCTTTGGCAGCTGAAATGATCCAAGCAGCGCATAAAAGGAGGGCACCAGTGATTGCTTTGAAATTGGACTTTCGCAAAGCTTTCGATTCGGTCAGTTGGGACTGCCTCACTCAGGTTCTGGAAGCCAGGGGCTTTCCCCCCTTGTGGATACAGTGGATCCATGCTCTCCTCTCCACTGGACGATCAAGGGTGCTGATTAATGGAGAACCAGGGGATCCCATCTTGGCAAAGCGCGGCTTTCGGCAGGGAGACTCCTTATCGCCTTACCTCTTCATTCTTGTAGCCGACGTCTTGCAACGCCTGTGTTGTTGGCATTTCCAGAATGGTACTTTGATGCACCCGCTTGGTTCCCACGGTTTCTTCCCGGTTTTGCAATATGCAGACAATGCGCTGATCATTTTTCGGGGCGAGTGGAGCAAGCCAGAGTCATTAAGAATATCCTCACTGCCTTCTCTGCGTTCTCAGGGCTGACTATCAACTTCCACAAAAGCACCTTGGTGCCTGTTTGTGTGCAACAGGAAGTGGATGTGGAGATTGCCAGCATTCTGGGTTGCCCGATCTCCTCCTTTCCCTGTACTTACCTGGGGATGCCCCTCTCCTTGCACAAGATCAAGCATGGTATGCTGCTTCCGGTTATCCACAAAGTTGATCGTCGCCCCTCTGGTTGGCTGGCCACGTTTCTCTCTTGGGGTGGCAGACTCACTCTCATTAACTCCGTTCTGGCTGGCATACCGAGCTACTTCATGGCTTGTTTTCAATGGCCAAAAGAGTCTTTGCATAAGTTGGACGCCCTGCTTAGGGCTTTCTTCTGGAAGGGCAAGAATACAGTTAAAGGAGGACACTACCTGACGGCCTGGGATATGGTTACACTGCC